TCCGGGTTAAATTCAACTGAAACTGTTATGGTGGTAAGCGCCAACCGGTATTATCCTCGTATTAAATCAAAAATATATCCACCAGCTTTGATGTCGACATCAGAGTTAATCAATACGACTCTAAGCAAATAGTTGGCAGATCATCCAAACAGGGTAGGAATCAAAAGTTAATCCGAGATGAAGCTTACCACCATTAAGGCCCAAACGCAATGTGGGCGGAAGCGGAACGGAAACGGAAAGTTTGACAGTTGTCACTTATGACATCAAGATGCCTAACCGAAGTCGATTTGGATCTAACTAGTTTTCAATCCGACAAGTAGGCTTACTCAGATCGGGCTTTTCCGCTGCCGTTGCCGTTCCGCTTCCGCCGTCATTGCGCTTGGGCCTTTAGAGTAGAATTCACACTACCGTGGATCCCCGTTAATCGGGGGTTAATCGTTAATCATGCATAGTAACGGGTGCATTTTTAATTTGAACTTCTAGCAACCCTACGACCATAAGAAAAGCGAGTTTCTGGTAACCTTATTTTTTGTTTTGTGTTGATTCTGCGTTCCGTTTTGCATCGTCCCATTTCGCTTTACTCTATTCCATGTTCTAGATGAAGTATGAGCAATTTTTAGTTTACATGGCATGCAGATCAGTTGGGTTCAAACTAAAAAGTGTTCAGATTACCGGGGATCAACGGTTTTACAATCGAATCCCTAGGATAAAGTCCGGTTAGATGATTTAATTAAGCGTTCAATTAACTTGAACGTCCAGAAAGCTGGTCGATGTCAGACTTCCACTATTCGAGGCCAATTCAATTAAACACCGACTACCAGATCAGGGTTAGTTGAATTAAACGCACTTGGCTCGTCTAAATTCGGCTTAAAAATGACCAACTGAAGAATATAGATTAAACTTTACCATCTCCGAATAGAGCACTGCACACAAAAGCTAACTTGATTTTTTTTGCCAAGAGGGTAAATGAGAAACGAACGGGAATCAAAATAAAGCCGGCAGAACTGTCGAGATTCGCGGGTGAGGTGATTTAGGTTAGATTGCGCGCAGTGATCTATTCCATGAAAGTAAACACTTATGATAATTGCGTTGAAAGTTTTGCAAAAAAAAAGAGTTTTTATGAAACGAATTTTCCAAAAATACGGGAAAAATAAATAAATAAAATATAATAAAAAAATCTGCTGAAATATAATAAATATTAGTTTTGGCGAGGGCCATGTGGCAGTTTGGCCACCCTAAGAAAATCAACACTAATGATACCAAATTCAGTGAAATTTTTTAACCAAGTGAATATTTCCAAGCCCCATATACTTCTGTTATTTGCATAATTATACCATGGTCCTTAAGGATTGCATAGAACATGGGGCAGTTATGCGTATTACGGCAATATACATGAATAAAAGACGAATATAAAAACTAAACTCTTGAAAAAAATATTTAAAATATGTTCGTTTTTAACCGAAATCTAGCGTTCGTAAACTATAAGGGCCTAACTACGATGATCGATTTTCTAAATTGTTAATAACTCGGCTTGTTTAACATCTTTCGGTTTCATGTTGCTTTTGCTAGATAATACACTGTACTGGAACAATTTCGGAAAAGTCGTTCACTTAGGCCGTGGCCAGAGTAGACGCGACAGGCGACGCGACGCGACCAATTCAAAAGAATCTTATTGGTTATTATTAATTCTTGCGTGAGTCGCATCGCGTGTCGCGTCTACCCTGGCCGCGGCCTTAACTGTAATAATGCGAAGAGTAAGAGTAAATCGATCATCGTTAGAACGTTAGAAATACAACCGTTGGGGTAAAATCAGGACCCTATCGGGATGGTTTGAGTTCCTTGTAAATAACTGGAAAGACTATTCTGTTCTCATGAATATTTATGAAGGGTCAAACCTGAACAGTTTTAATATGAACATATTAAAAAAGAAACAGTAATTTTCTGTAAATAAATTAAATTTAAAAACTACTGCCTATTTATGGCTATTTTTTTAATCCATTAAATCAATGATTTTATACCAAAGCAGCTGCTTCAAAACATGATTCCATGATGGGAGAGTTTAAGTAGATAATGTCTGAAATATGTTGGGTGCTCATATTTCCCAGAATGGGCTACAGAAATATTTTGACATTTTGAGCTATTCTAATAGTATGTTCAGATTGTAGCTGATATCATCTAATATACACACTAAGATTATTTTACCGAAATCTCAACGGCTGAACGTTCGGTAAGCCACCGAACTGTTTACCGAACGAACGAAGCTGTTGAGGTTTCGGTAAAATTTCACAGATTTCGATAAAATAATCTTAGTGTGTACTGCCGCTATTCGCATAACAGTCCCATGTCTTGTGGATTTCCTATCTACATGGGACTGTTATGCGAATAGTGGTAGTGTGGGCTGTGCGGCAATGAGCACTGATACGGCCAATAATCACCGGAAATCTTAGACTTACATGATATCTGAACGTACACGGTAAGAAAAAAGTACCCAAAAGTAAATTCTTTTCACTCATCTCGGCACTATAATGCCGCTCTTTGCATGTCCGTCCCATAGAGAAAATCGGCAAGCCGAGAAAATCGCGTTTTAAGTATGCTTCGTACCATTGCTTCTTATGTGATGGGACAACCAATGTGACTGTCTTGCAAACCTTTTCAGAACAAAGTTGATGAGTTCATCCAGTATTATGAAAATATGGGTAGTAAGCTACCATTTGCATTGAACTCAGTTTTGACAAAAAACAACAATGGGACCGACATGCGAGGAGCGGCAGTATAGTGCAGGAACCCAAAAGTTGGTAAAGCGGGTCAAAGTAGTTTTCATTTACTTGTGTGCAATTCGTATGGAATTTTCCACTAGCTTTCTACCCAAAAGTAAGTTAGTTGTACCTAACAGTAGGTAAATATGATTATACTTAACGTTGGGTTCCCACACTTGACTACCCCTGTTGGGTGGTTTTGCGCTTCCGTTTTTGACAACATTAGAAGAAGAAAATGAGACAAACTAGTCAAAAGTAGGTAAAAGTGAATTGGTCTTGGGTACTTTTTTCTTACCGTGTACTATAATACTTCAAGTTGAACAATGCATAAGGTCCTAAGTAAAATTGACAGATTCTCTTTGTCGATTTTATCTTTGCATCCTCACGGCCATGTAAAGACATTTACTGCTATTTCTAACACATAGTTCGATAAAAGAAGCTTATGTTTGCCGTTTTAGTTAAAGAACCGTATCATCGTATCGTATCATGACAAGAACCGGTTTTGTAGCCAAGTTATTAACGAAAGAGAAAGTCGACGAAGAGAATCGATCAATGTTACTTGGGATCTAATTTATTGTTCGGCTTGATTTTTCGCACTAGAGAATAGTATTTATTTAGACTAAAATTAAATTAATAGTTCTTCAAGTATTAAGCATGCAAGAGATTTTTGTAAAATATTTTCTATTAGTTGATTTAAAGGGGGGTGGCCACATTACCCCAGTTTCCCCTAGCTGATTAATATCGTTGAATCTTTCTTGCACGTAGGAATGTGTTCCAATATTTTTAGCTTGCAATGTTCTTTCTCCTCCACCCCGCTCTGCCAGACGTCCCAAGTATATAGCGAGATACATAAACACATAAACACATTCACATCGAACCAGGTTATATGCCAGCAGCTACAACAGAGCGATACAGAAATGGTACGTTTAGTAAAACTGTTAATCGAAGAGTGTCCGATTGCAAAGTTCAAAATAATGTTTTTACTACTTACGAATTCTTCTCCATCCAAATAACAAAAAAAAAAACGTTGATGTTTTTAATTTAAATTTCAGGTCATAGAAACTCTATAACTCATAGAAAATGCATACTGCCGCAAAAATGAACGTTTGTTGGGGTCAGGGTTTGATTTTCAGCTAACTTATAGATATTTTGTTTATTATCCAGGTTTGAACCAGTGCGAAACCGGGCTTTTTGTCAGTGCGAACCTCCATCTGAGGTTGATTTTAAAAACAAACTGACGTTTGTCAGAAAACAGATAGGAACTGACTTCCTTGGGGCATTAAGTATCATTTTTGATTGCCACACAATATACTAAATTGAGACGGCAAAACGTTCCCGACCAAAAAGAAGGAAAGGATATTCATGTTTTTTTTCTGGATTTCCTTCTCAATCATAGCAGAATCGTAGTTTTTATATGGATACTATTTATGCATAATAAGTAATGTTCAACAGAAGTGGTGATGCCGTTCAGAAACTATTTATTTCTAATGAATGATGAGAAACATTGCTAATAAAAATACCTAAGGCATTTTTTAGTACCATCGAACATCCCTCATAAAACGGCGATTCTTGTTATTGATTTAAATTACAGTGAGACCATTGTGCACTCTCTCCAAACATACAACCTTATCAAACAATTTTAGCTGTTTTTTTGACAATCCATTCCATGATTTCGGTAAAGGTTCAATCACCTCAATGAAGTTTCTAAAATACTATCATGGTATCTCGTATGTATATATTTATAATGTATACATTAAAAAAACAATTTTGCAGTTGGTCCCCGTGATGTACTTTGAATTCTCTATTAAATTTTGTTTAGTCGACGTATGATTATTAGGCTCCATAATGTAATACATCGAAGAGCAAGGAATTTAATTTCTAAATTAGATAAAACCAATTTTTTTTTCTCGCTGGAATGCTGTGCTAAACGAGCCTCAAAAATATGTTTAACAGGGTAGGGTGAACAACAGTAGGTATATAACGCCTTGAGGCGCGGTAGTACTCAGCAGAGCGGCGGAGATACCTCTATACAAAAATCCTCATGAATGGTCTTCCATGTATTGGTCACTAGTGTCTTGTTGTGTATTTATCACTCGTCATTATTTGGGGTTCCGTTCCAATGACTGTGGTTGGTAAATAAAGGCATATAGAAGGGAACCCAATTACTACGCATTTCGCATTGAACGCTTAATTAATGGAATTTGTAAAACTCCACATGCAAATAGCAGATGTTTAATTACTAACCGTTCCGGAACATTTCTTAAATACGAATATGAGCCTCACAGAAGTCCGTTTCACCAAAATATTCACGTTTCACGATTTTACCGACTCCGCGACGAAAGCTCTAGGTATCTAACTCACACAAGCACAATCCGAACTGCGAATAGGTCGCTGTCTCAATGTATAATAGCAGGCGGGCATGTATATACTTTGTCTATCTCCGCAGCCGCAACGAAATCGATTTTCTGACTTGAATATTGAAATTCAAAGATGGCTGCCTTTTTCTTTCGGTGAAAAAATCCCTAAGCTATGCGAAAAATTGCGACTTTCGCTATCTAAAACAGGATTATTGACGACGTAACCGAAACCTTGAACCTCGTGTCCGATTTACTTTCACTTAAAACGCGGTTTGTCGGTGCAATTAATTATCCAAACCCTGCCATCATGGTTCGAACTGGAAATTTCGACGTAACGCTCCCAAGAGTGGTGCAAAATTGGCAAATATGGAATAAATGACGAAAAATCAAGCATACTAACGATGTTTGCGATTCGTTTCTTTCCGTTAATTTCCGCTTACTGGTGCCTCATAAACAGGATACTCTCCGTTTCTATTAATAATCACTTGAATACGCCTTGATGATCATCAATTACATTTCTCATAGCATTTATCAAGATCAAAAAATTGGATTAGCTTTTCAATAGCGAATTAATAAAATACGACTGCATTCTTCCACGTACAGAACTGAAATGATTCACTAAGGCGATGAGGTGTGTACATAAAACGCGAAAATCGCTTTCTGGCTGGTACAGTCGTACAGTGCAGAGCTGCCAGAACTATTTTTCGAATATCAATATCATGTTTTCACCAACGTTAAATAAAGGAGAGAAGTAGAACAAGAAGGTGTTTCGATTTATTTACTAATATTAACTAATGCTGGGTTTAGACTAGGCAAATGATCAACTCAGTTGAATTCAATTGGCTTGAAAAGACGAGCCTGGTTCAACTTTTTTCAATTCAAGTGAGTTGATCAAGTCAGTTGAATGGTATGGTTTACACGTTCAATTCGCGTTCAAGTCAGTTGAATTCAACTGACTTGATCAATTGACTTGCCCTATCTAAACCCAGCTTAACGGTGATGAAATCAGATAGATGTTAGGAACCCTAATAAACGGGTACCGAACACAAACGATATCATAGATGGAGTTTCCGAACTTTATATTAGTATGTTATGAACCTACGTAGGATATTATTATTTGTATAAAACCCCGACATTTTAAAAACATAACGACATTTTGGTCTCATGACTACACGCTAAGATGCACATACCTCAAAGTCAGTAAAAATTTCCGATAATCGAAGAAAGTGTACATACCTAAATTATCGGTATTCATAGATTACCAAAAATTAACGTTAAATTTTTCCTAATTTATTAGTTAAAAGTAGCATATTTAGAGTAAAAAGTAACGATTTTTTATCGGTATCTCGGTAAAAATACAGATTATTTTTTACGATATTTTTAGGTAACCGTAGCTTAGAGTAAATACAAACTCTCATAGTTTGATTTTTATTTCTGCTTATTGTAAACAAGTGCTTCTGTAAGACCATATGAATTCAAATTTTCGCTTTATTTACTTCAGAAATGTCCGTAAGCTAACGAATTTAAACGAAATTTTCAATTTCCGGAAATAACAATCAGATAAGTGGTAAGCGTGATTATCTCTCACCCCAGCAGGCCTGGGTTCAATCCCAGTTGGCGTCGCTGGGATGTTCTGAGGCATAACATCTCTGATCACGCCTTCCTTCGTATTCAACTGAAGAATCTGGCCCGTAAAACTATTTTCCGCATATAAAACTTTCACAATGATACTGTTTTCATAACCACAACATAAAAGTTTCGTGAAAGTGAGAAAAATTCCGTCTAATACTCATTGGCGTAACTTAGGAAAAATCCTAGGGGAGCTAAATTTATTTTTTGAACTTCTCAATTAGACAATTAGCTAAAAATTTTGTTATGTAAGATAAATAAGTAATTGTAGATAAAATTCTAGATGAGGTTTGAGGTAACATGAATCCTAGGGGGGCTATTAACTCCCCTGGCCTGCCGTAGTTACATCAATACTAAACCGCACTGCTCTGTAAGTTGGATATATGACCTCAATTATTTTTCGGCATAGACCTCAAAAATCTGTAGTGTTGGCAACGCTGGTATAGAGTACAAGAGTCCTAGGAAGCACTCACACAGCACAAGCTACTTTATATACTGCGTAGGGTAGGGTAGAGTATGCCGCGCGGGATTACACCGTCGTTAAGCTCATAGCGCGCTATGAACTTCACGACGGTGTAATGGCGCGTGAATTGCGAAAGCTCAGAGCTTTCACATTGTTTGTGCTCACGGTCGATCAGAGCATTCAAAATTAACTCGAGTCGACTCAATGTAGTAATAGTGGATTTACAGTAATCCCCCCATTTATGCAGTGGATAATACAATCGCTGTTTATTGGCCGCCTTCAACCAATACGTTGATTGTTAGTTTGTGATTAGTGTCGACCATAAACTAGTTATCTACACAAAAAATCAGCTTAATTGGATGGACACCCGAGAAATAACGGTACCACCCACTGCAAAAATGGAGAGGTTGTTGCACACTCATCCAGTCTGTAATTTTTACCAAGTTTTTGAATTGCGGAACTGTTTGGAAAAATATAGAAAATGTGTGAAAAATTCAAAGTTGAGAAAATGTGTTGCGAAAATTTACAGACTTTACTTCTGTAAACCTCGTTTAATGAGGAAAAATAAAACTTGGTCGATTTTATCGAATCGTTACGAATAACGGTCATTTGAATTTCAACCGAGTTTTTCAGTTATTCAAAAACCCAGTAATTTTTTACTGGGTTTTTGAATAACTGAAAAACTCGATTGAAATTCAAATGACCGTTATTCGTAACGATTCGATAAAATCGACCAAGTTTTATTTTTCCTCATTAAACGAAATCCAACGTGAGATCAATTTTCCGGCTATTCCAGAATAATTATTTTTTTTAATATGAAGAAAATCGAAAGAGGTTTCACTCAGTCTATTAGACATTCTTGATCGGGATTTATTCCGAGGATAATACCGGTTGGAGTTTACCAGAGACGTTGATAGAGTCGCGCAATGAAAATTTCTGTCGAAACCGCAGCACGGTTTTTGAGGGATCTTTTGACAATGTCACTGGCAACCATGTTTCTTCGAGTGGCTTCAAATGACTTTCATACAGTACCGCAATGCTGTTGAGAAAATTTGAACGTCCGACCGGAACTGAATAAAAATGAAGTGCGCGGCAACATTTTGCACAAATAAAGCGAAGGCGAGAGATGACAGTCGCTCCATGAAAGTATAACTGTTGTCATATTTTACTGTTTTGCTTGCAGCGCAATCATTTTTGTTACCACAAAACTAAATAAAACGTTCCGATTCGATTTTTTTTATCACTATTTAATGTTGTATTTGATTGAATCAACAATAAATAAATAAATCAAGCGTAACTATTCAAATCGACGTATCTGATTTTGTAAACAATCACTTCAATCGACGATTTGAGGCAACTGCTAGCTCACTCACAGAAACTAACAACATCAGCTAGTAGGGAAAAGATGGTGTTTGTTTGCGTGGGTGAGTTAGCAGTTAAGACACATCGTTTATTGAAGTGATTATTTACAAAAGCAGACACGTCGATTTGAATAGTTACGCTTGAAATAACAGATATCAAATATTTCATGAAAATTATTAAACACCTTTATCATCATTGAGAACAATACTCCTTTCTGGTGAATTGAGCGAACAGTAATGTTTATTTACTTTGCTCGTTTGGTTCAGCGTTTGACGGTTCGTTTGGTTCTTTCATGCCGATCGGTTCAGTAGTTTCCGAGTCTATAAGGGTCAGACATACAGACAGAAATTCATTTTTATATATATAGATTTAAAAATAATAAAATTCAATACAGGAAAGATTATTTCGAATTTAATTATGCATGACTACTACCGAAGTAATCATGACTCGGACCTCGTCGGACTCAATAAGGTGAAGCGGGAATCTGCATACTTTTTAATTTTATTTTATTTAATTTATCTTTGAGTGTACGCTTTTAGAAATTTCTCCATACGCATGAATAAAAGTGACTCACTCTCTGAGTAAAATTAGTTTGCAGTGAAAATTATGTTTATCTATCTACAAAATTTCTGTTTTTTTTGTACTTCCTAAATAGAGATAATAATAATAATTTCTATGTTTTTGACAGATCCGATCGTTGCACATTTGATTGGCCGTTAAAGATTTTCAAGCAAAAGTCGAGGGGGGCGACTCTATCTAAGATGCAGGAAATTTATTGCTTTGCTGTTGTGAGATGCACTCGCGCTTAATAGATAGAAAAAACGATTGTGATTTTGAAGATTTCCTGCAAAAAAGGTGGAGAGCGATGCGAGTAGATGGGATTAGATGCGAGAGATGAAAAAAGATTTTTCGTATACTTCCTAGACTACTTCTACCGTTGTGAATGAAACCAAATCCAATCCCTGTAATAGGTACCTACATCTAGACCTACATAGAATATTTGATGATGAGAACTGCGTATTCGAAAATGAAAATCATACGTTACTTACGTTTAACTCCCGCCAGTCGGTAATGCGTTCGAATAACGCGTCCCAGCCGCAAAGCCAACCGGATCATTGCAGGTCATCGATGAGTTTGTCCTTTGCTATCGTTTTGAGTCTGTTGGTGTTGTAGTTTTATTCTGCAACCTGAAGTATATGTATTAATGGGCAAACAAAATACTCACTATTACTATATAATTACTAATTAACAGTTCTAGTAACTCAATTTCTCCAAAACTATGTGCGGAAGCGAACTGTTATCTTGCATTAGCGCCGTTTTTGTTTTGTGTTTATGTTTTGCTTTTGATTTTTATGCGCATATGAACGAGTGCACCGATGAATTTGAGTTCATTCACTCGAGAAAAAGTGACAAGCTGCGGGCAATGTTTACTAATCATGAACACTAAATGTTCGTTATTCATTATTCATGAACATTTAGTGATCATGATTAGTAAACATTCTCCGCAGCTTGTATCACTTTTTCTCGAGTGAATGAACTCAAATTCATCGGTGCACTCGTCCATTGACGAGTGCACGGATGGATTTGAGTTCACTCACTCGACAAAAAGTGACACAACAGCGGGGCCCTGTTTACTATAAATGAACACATATGTGTTCATTATTAGTAAACAGGGCCCCGCTGTTGTGTCACTTTTTGTCGAGTGAGTGAACTCAAATCCATCCGTGCACTCGTCAATTGTTTTGTTTTCTATATCAGTGCACTTCAAATTCAATCAATGCATAATGTTACTTAAAAGTACCACACATATTTTTTATAAGTCGCACATAAAATGTAAATTTTCTTCTGTGCTTACAATCTATGTGACGCACATGAAAAATATCAGTCATTTAATTTGAGTGTAGTATTTACTATAAGTCGTTTT